ACAAACTAAGGAGAAGAAGTAAAGAAAGTTGAGAAACGATGCTTTTCTTGCATGTGCAGAGTATAAACACTTTCTATATACAGAATGTGAACACCGCGACATCGTAGCGTGAGTCTACATCTTTGAATTGGTAGAAATTTATGTAAAGAAATAGCTTCATTAGTTCTTATAGTGTGCTTATCAACAACATGTTTACATTTCACAATCAGAATGTAAAATAGTGTTACACATTAACGATCAAACAAGAAAAAAGTTCTTTAACAACAAAAATATTTAATGTGAAATAATCTAAATAGGACAAAATGCTTAATAATTTTGTCATATTAAACCTAATAAATGTGTGATATTCGAAAGTTGTTTACTGTATGGGAACACGAGACAAATGGAAATTATTATATCGACAGGAATACGAGTTGGTGTTGCTATTTCCGTAGTAAATCTTAATATTAAAACAAAAATACAGAATTACTCTATGATGATCGTGACATTGATTCTTTCTATACAATCTGTATAAATGTATCAACAACATCAATGCTAACTAATATTTCAACAAAAAAGTAAAAGATATATCTGATTTTATTAAAAATTATTTTATATATATATATATATATATATATATATAAATTAAAAGTTACAGATTTTTTACAGGACCAATCAAGTTGATAGTTTCACGCGAAAACGCTGTAAAAGATGTAAAAGCGAAAAATTTTTTAACGAATACTATGAATAAAAGTACACGTTACGTTCGTTCACTCGTTGAACAGGTCTACAGTTTAGCAAAATAGGACCATCTGATGAGCAAATTTGTCGAAATTGTGCAACCTATTAAGCAAAGATTAATATGTATATATTAAATAATATAGACATGTATTTGATTAATAATTGTTGCAAGTTTTACTTGAGACGATGATATTGCGATTGGTTCAGGCTGCAAGATCCACGTAACGATTTCGCTGCAGGGTGGTTGAGTAAGAGAACCATTATACGTATAGTAATCCGTTTCAAAATATGGGAAAATCCATACCAATGGAAACGATGGAACGTGCACTTTCGTCCCTGGTTTAACGATTCGCCACAGATTTGTTATAATATGATCCAAATAAGAATTGTCCGCATTTGTAATCTATTGATCGATACTTAATTTAATTTAAATTAATTTACAATTAATTTAGCTTTTAATTTTATAACTATTTAGCTTTTTTTAAAGAATGTAAGCAGTATAAATTTTTCTTAAAAACTGTATAAAACTTTTAAAAACTTTTTTTTTAAATTGTATAAAATTTGTATCAGCACCAGCCGAGCATTTCGCGCGCTTTTTTCGGGCTTTTTACGAAGCAGCCAAAATAATACACATATAATTTGCATCGAATAACTTGGAATTTCTTGCTAGCACAAAGAAGTACAGTGTTCTATTTTTCGTTTCTATTTATGATTTGAAGCAACGACTAGCATGTTTTTCCATATTGGCAAGAAGTTCTAACGTCTATCGCGTTCCATCTTTTATGTCACGGGCGCTTATTATTGTCACAAAAAGAATCCTTCGATCAACTCCTGATTCTAACATTGTTTCAAAGATTGCGGTAAGACAACTGACCTATATTTCACGATAATTGACTAGCGTTGGCTAACCAACTTTTATAAAACAGGTTCTCGCGGGCATCAAGCGCGATAGAATTCGATGAAGAGTATACAAGGAAACATACAGTCCACTTTTGTGATATCCAATCTCACGGAATCGTCACGCTGCAAAACTGGTATGTACTTCGCCAAATCTATCTCTGTACTCCTAAACAATATATTCCTAACCAATTTTGTGTAAAATCTAGTTAACTCTTTGCCCTTGAAAACTTTTTTTGGTATCATCTACCAATCAAATAATTTATTTATTTATGAAGCATCATCACTTCAAACAAAACGACATGGAAATAATCATTCAAATAGTGTTTAACACGAATTTTAACTATATCTTTCTAACATGTGATATCGTTTAAATTTAAAGCAACCGTCAATCCGTGTTTGCTAAACCAAGTATAATAAGTAGGGAAAATAATATCCTCCACCATCTTTTAAACTTTCCTAAAAAGCAATGAGAAGTCTATGTGAATTATTCCAGTGAGTGTCAATTGACTTTTGAGAGATTTCTTCTTCCGAAATTCCCTTGTACGTCGTTATTATAGCTTTCACTCTAAGCGTCTGTTTAGATATCATACTATTATACGTAGCATCACACAACACCAAATGTGTGTACCATACGTTCGTTATAATTATCAACAAATTATAAAAAGAGAAAGTCCGAGCTGTTAGATTTAGGTCCGGCTGAGGGGGGATAATCGAGTGCAAAGAGTTAATACTTGAAACGAAATTTTACCTGAAAAAAGAACGAGACGATCAGTATGCCATCGCTTTCTTTAGCAGCAATCGCATCCAACAGTGAATTGAAGCCACGTTTTATGTGCCAGACTTGTAACTCCATAGGATATCGAATATAATCTAAAGTGTGCTCGCTGCCTTCGTCATTCGACTGCCCCCAATGAAACACCATCGAGTACAGTTCGTAAATGCTAGTTAGACATCCACCTTCGATGTACGGTCGATTCAAGTTGCCCCACATTGTGTTTACTATCACTAGAAATAATTCTTGAAAATTAATAAAGGAATAATTCTTGAAAAATTTATTTTGTAACGAAAAATGTAATGGAAGTTGGAAAGCAAAGTTGCAAGCGACTAAACGTTCTTGCAAAACTTTAAACTTAATTGACAGGATATAATTTTAAGGTAACATAAGGCCCAGTGTAATTTGCAAACTTGGCGCTGCGCTTTGTAATAATATTAATTAATAAAAAGAAATTTACAATGCAAATTTTAGCAATAATTAGACAGAATTGGAAAAATTAATCAACGGTTAACTTCAATTATTAATCATAAATGACGATATCTATTTTAATTGTTAGTTGCAACGAACGATTAAATATTAAATGCTAAAACACTTTTTGTAATGAAACTAGTTTTCTGCGTTTTTGTTCGTGATTAAGGATCTTGCAATAAGGTATAGAGAGATGATAAAGCCTTTGGAAGTCCGTGAATAGTGAAATAATATTAATACCTAATGCAACGAAAGTTCTTTTATTATTTTGATTATTTAATAAATTTTGAAGAGATTTAAAATAAATTAATTAGGCTTGTACATTAATCGCTCTATACCTCGCAATAGTTCGAGTTCCGAGATAGAAATGTATTTATTTAAATATCTTAACTTTAAAGCGTCAACGCTTTATTACAATTTCAAAGTTCATAGCTTTAATTTAAATGAAATTATTAATTATTTGGCTCAAGAACCTCATCAATGATCTTGAAATATTATATCATGATTCTAAGCAACTTTTTTTTATACATGTTGCACGACTTCAATTTAATATATTTAATAAATAAAAAATATTTTTTATTCTATAGATACAGTGATGAGCAAAATTGAAAACACACGCGTGGAATTTTAACATAGATAATATTTTATTGAATATTTGCATTTAAAACACGGAAAAGCAAAATATGTAGTGTTTTGTAGGACATTTCGGCTTTTCGCGACAATCAATTTTGCGTCGCAATTAATTTAAACGAAAAATTATCGATACTTTATATGATTGTTGTAACTTCATAAAAAAAAAGAATCATATAGTAATCTATTTGATCTCATTATAAAACGTAAAACTTCTATTTTGACTATCCTGTTTTTCTCCACGACACTTTAACATCGTATTAGCAAATGGAAAAATGTTCTTCTTTCTAAGAAAAAAATTGTGAAAAAAAATTTACATTAAAATTTTATTTACGACTAAATCGTAATCTCGAAGATTAAACTTTCTCTTCTACTACGATTCCTTAGAACCTGCTGTGTAATTTTTTTCATTGTTTTATTGAACTTTGAACGACAAAAATTCAAGCAAAATTCTAAAATTTTATCATTTAACCGTATTGTTCAAAATCAAATAAGCAAAGTAAAGAAAAAAATTTCAGTATTCAAAACCATGATGAATCAGGTCAAAAAAAAATTTTTTTTTAGTGTTTTCAAAGGTTTTCAAATTTTTAGAATTTACGAAAGTAAAAGTAATGTTACTTTCCCATCTACTACATGATGTAAAAATATGAGGAAAAGTTGTTTTGAAAAAAAAAACTGTGCGTAGTCAAAATAAGTTTCACGCTTTAGAATGAGATCAAGTAAATTATCGTGATTTCTTTTACGAAATTATAATAGTTATATTATTATGTGTTCAATTATGCTCTTCACTCTATGTTCAATGATATATCTCTTCTCGGGATTTAGGTTAAGTTTAAACGAAATTAGAATTAATTTTGTGTTACATTTGCTTAAATTTACTCATATATTGCATTATTAACATTATATAATTGGAAACAAATTTAGATTTGTCTGATTTAAATTTCACCCAAGCTGATTGGTAATACTTTACCCTATTAAAGTAATTACAAATGATTTTTAATAAAAGAAATTATTGGAGAGATCGAAATGCCACCTATTGAAGTGTACGCTCTCAAATATAACATTACAAATTCATTAAAATCAGTTTATCCTTTAAAAAGTATGAAATTATTTTTATAATCTAATTTCAGAAATTAACAATAAGTATGTTCGAACAGCGATAACAATTATAGCGAAAAGCTGCTTAAAATCATACCTTGACACATTTCACAACAATTGATTGATCTATTTTTGCCGAGTCGAACAAAATCGACGATATGCTATCTAATAAAACTTTTGTCTCGTGAAAAATTCACCTTTCATTTGCACGCAGAAAAACACAATTACTTTTTGGCCAACCTAATAGATACGAAAACGAGTGTAAAACTCGACGACAAATTAACGCAAATCACTCGTGTGAAATGCAGGAAAAAAGTTGGACGCGTAAACTTGGTGACAAATTGGCCGCGACAGTGAGTTTGCTGCGAACAGTTAATCCGCGCCGGGCCTAAATACATCGTCGATGGAAAACTTTTGAAAACGTACCGTCTGTGACGCGTAATTTTCAACGACTGATAAAGAAATACTAAATGGTGAGTAAGTAGTGAGTTTGCATATTGAATTAGCGGAGAAGTTGCACCGTTATTTCCATTATTCGCTATGGCCATTGATAATGGTCTTTTGTCGTAGCCATTCCATCGGAGAGGCTCGGACGGTTGCACCACGACGGCGAGTCGTGTTCTAATGTTGATTGGCGACTGATTGCTACCATTACTATCAGGATATAACAATTTCCACATGTGAGGCCCATTGCGGTCCGTATAACCGAATGTGAACGAAGGAAAGTTGCATTCGTTCTCCACCCACGGAAATAATTGGGTCCAATCCAGAACTTCGGTCAGTAGCAAGACTGCAACGAGCGGTTAGGGTAAGAAATGAAACGACGAAGTACATATATGGAAGATGAATAAATCTTCTTACATATGAGGAGTACACTGCTACATATGATCATGAATTCCGACACTGATATGTTTATCATTTTCATTAATTATTTAAATTATTATCGAGAAATACGGGACTCTGCATAAAACTTACGATCACATACGTTTTGTTACACACATATATACATACATACATACACATAAAAATTTCACTTGTGAATTTTCAAAAAAAGGTTTAGTAAAATAACCTGCTGGCTGTACAGGTGAAATAAATAATCAACGAATATATCGAACTCGATAGATTGGAGTACAACTTCAAAGCCGTGGTTTCATTGTTTCGATCGATCGATGTTGTGTTATTTTTTTTTATTTTTTTTTTTTTTT